AAGGAAGTCTTGGTAAGCTTGAACAGGAAACAGATTTCCCTAAACATAAGAATCACCGACCTGAAATGTACATCAATCTATACAATCTATACATTGAAAGCAATAGGTAGGTATGTGGATAGAATAAGAGAGAGGATTCTATGAAGACTCAGAACAGCAGAAAGTAAAATCAAAGGGGGGAAAAGCATGCAGACACATTCCTAGGTTTAGGATATGCGCCAACCAACTGCCTTCTGGGCAGATCCATTTAGATATCCCACTGACAGGACAAATTTGATAAAATCAAAACTAAATTCTTACTTTGACTCTCAAAATCTGCTTCTCCATCTCAATAAATAGACCTCGATCCACTGAGCTAATAATCTAGGCAGAAATCTGGAAGTCATTAATGACACCATTCTCTCTCTCAGTCCCCACATGCAGTGAGTGCATCTCACTCCCATCCATTCACAATGTTTATTGGATATTTACTGTATTCCAGGCACTGCAGTCAGAGGTTGAAGACACAAAACAAATGAAACTCCCTATTTTCATGGAGTTTATTATCTTGATTGTAGTGCATGGTTTCTCAGATGTACATATGTATCAAAACCCACTGTATCCTACTGATTCTAACTCCAATGCATATCTCAAATTTGTCTATTCCTGACCTTTGCGTTGCTAGCTTACAGCTAGTTACCTTGTCTCAAGCCTAAATTATCCAAATAGTTTAAAAGATCTTGCCACTTCTAGTCTTGCATAGAACATCCAATTCATTTTCCCAGATAGCAGCCATATAATTTCAAAACACAAATTTTATATATTATGTGCCTCCCCTGCTTAAGTTCTTTTAATACCTTCCTCTTCCATTTAGGAAAAAACTGAAAACACCAAACATGGCAAGCAAAGACCAAATATAAAATATAGCTCTTATTACAATTCTAATCTTAATCTCTACCATTATCCTGGCTCACTCACTATCCTTTAGCCACAACTGTCTCCCCTAAAAAAATGGGTATCTTGCATAGTGCTCTATCTAGGGCACCATCCCCACTAACCCAACTTCTCAGTAAGTATACTGTAGGTCTTTGTGTCAAGGATGCTACCTCAGAGAGGCCTTTCTTGACCCCTCTTCCATAATTTAAAATATTTTCCTCCTTTTACTGTGCCCCATAATTACCATTTTTTTAAACTATCATTTACCACATTTTGTAATTATTTAATTATTTTGTCTTTAATGTTGGTCTATAATCATTAGAGAGCCCAGTAAGTACCCAGTAAACCCGGGACCTGGCACAGTTCTTCAAAGTGTTCAATAAATATCTGTTGAACAAATTAATAATTCAACCAAGGAAAAGAGACAAGAGTACAAATTCTAAGCAAAGGCAGAAGCATATGCTGATGTGTTTGGAGAAAATGCAAATAGTTCAGCATGACTGAAGCATGTGGGTTGAGGTGGAAGAAAGTACTGATGTCTAGAGAGATGAACGGTAGTGAGCACAACAGGAGTCTACATACTATATAAAGAAATTTTAACTTGTGGCCTGTAGTGGTATCAATTACATTTCCAGTGTTATAATAATAAACATTCCTAAAAAACCTAATCTGATAAATGATATCCATAAAAAACCTACAGCTAGCATCATACTTTTAATGGTAAAAAACTGAAAGATCCCTCTACCCCATGATCAGGAACTGAATTTTGCACCTCCAATTCTCTCCTCCCACCTGCCCCAGAGCCACCTCCACATCTCACTTCCCACCTCCCCTCACACCACTTCTACTCCACATTGTAGTATATACAGTAAAGTAAAAAAAAAAAAAAAAAAAAAAAGAACAAAAAAGACATCCAGGTTGGAAAGAAACAAAACTGTCTCTTCGTAGACTACATAATGATCTATGAAGAAAATTCCAATCAACAAAAATGCTGTCAGAGCTAATTAGTAAGTTTAAGTGAGGTTGCAGGATTCAAAATCAACCATCAATTTGTAAAATTACAAATTTTACATATTGTCCTAGCAATGAACAATGAGAAATGAAATGAAAGCCTACAACCCTAGAAAGACATGTATGAATAAAGCGCTTTCTTTTTTTTTTGTTTTTTGTTTTTTGCGTAGAACTGGGGTGTAGGCCAGAAGTGCGGGGAGTGAGAGAACTCACCAGAAACAGAGTGGGGAGCAGAACAGGTGGATTTCACTGAAATACACTGTCAAGGGGAGCAGTGGGCGAGACAGGAGGGGTCTGCTGTACCGTACGTGGATTAGCTCCCTGGCAGGGGATAGAACTCAAGCCTTAGTGGTGACAGTGATGAGATTTAACCCCCGATGACCAAGGAGGCCCCTCAAGGCAATTTATTCTTAATACTCAAAAACTTGAAACAACCCAAATGTTCATCAAGGGATGAATGGATTAACAGACTATATATAGTATGTCCTGAAATTAGAATATTACTTTGCAATACACAGGAACATGGACAACTTTTAAAATAATTATGCATAATGAAAGAAGTTCAACAAAAAAAAGAACAATGAGATTCCAATTATATAAAATTCAAGAAAACACAAATTAATCTACAATGATAAAAAAAGCAAGAAGATGCAACAAACCTATAGTGTTAATATTAGTTGGTACCTGAAGATTGATGAAAGGGAAGATCCACAAAACACATGAAGGAACAAGGAAGCTTTTTGGGTAATGGACATATTTATTCTCCTGATTATGGTGGATGGCTTCCCAGATGTGTACCTATATCAAAATCTACCAAACTGTAGACTTTATATATATAGTTTATTGCACACCAATTATTCTTCAATAAAGCTGTTAAAAAATCTCAAAAAGCTTAATATTCAAGCACACCAAAAATCAATAAACACTGCCATATTTTATGAAATATCTTTTAAGTGTAAGACCAATGATCTAAATATTTTCTACCCATTGTAAACTAAGCCAAAAAGGAACTTTGCTACCATGTTTCTCTTTGCTTATATGGAATCATTTAATAAAACTTTAAAGCATTTTAAAATACAATATTGAGTAAATCTATGGTTATCAAGATCTGTACTATCAATAATTCTGTATGTTGAAATTCCAGCAAAGTTAAGTTTACTTAACTAAACATAATCATTATTTAGGTTTTCTTTTTTAAAGATTCTCACACTAGTTTCTTAAAGGATCGTTGTAACAGTAAACTGAGTAATTTTAGCCCTTAAAGAATTTATGAAGATTAAAAAACATGAACATACTTACATAGTCTGACAATGTATGAGATAAGTCTGTTTCCCATTCATTCATTCATTCATTCAATACACAGATTTATAATTGCATACTACATGTCAGGCACTCTGTAGTCTAGGTCCTTGCAATGTATTTGGGAGAAGGGAATGGGAGGGACAAGAGACAAAAATGATCTTAATAAATGCACACTGCAATATATTAGGTGGTAATAAACATTAGTGTCATTATCCCCACCCCACCCCACAAGAAAAGCAGACCAGGTTCTAAGAAACAGGAATGGAAACTAGATATATTGATAATAAAAACTTCAAAGTAATAACATGTACTTCAATAAGCCAAACATGAAAATCTCTTACAATGAGTAGAATCATATAATGTTAGAATTGAACTTCTGGTGACCTAGTTCAATCTTCACACAGATTAAAGTAAGTGACTTAACCAATCAGTTTTTGGCAAAAACTAAGGTCTCTACCTCCTGTTAAAACTACTAGCATCACTTTTTTGGATGTCAAGGCATTGTCTTACTCTGTTGCTATGGAAACAGCGAAGTGTTTTTGGAGTTTGAGGGGTAAGCTCTCGAAATATCTATGTCCTCATCTATAAAAGAAGAATGGTGGTAATTTTGTCACTGGATTGTTATGAGGACTATTGGAGTAGTTTATACCTACATGTCAGTACATAAGTATATAACCAACTAATGTATTCTAGCACCAAAAATAGTGAATCAGATGCACAAGTTCTTTATATCCTTTACTAGACTATAAACCTTATGTATATCTAAATGAGTAAATACTAATAAGCAGTTATTAATATTCAGGCTTCAAAATGTGGCAAACAGTGTAACTCTTATCACTGTAATGGAAATAATGAAATTAATGAAAGTTTCAGGGTATGTTTAAAATGTTTTTGGTCAGCCTCTTATGAACAGAAAAGTCTGTAGCACTGAATAGCTATAGGTCCTGGGTCTTTCTATAGACAAGAAATAACTTTCACCATAAAAACACCTTCAGAAGAAAACAAAAAGCCTGCAGTATTTTATTCCACTTCTACTTTTCACACTCATGCTGCTGGTTCCGTATTCACAGATCTCACTGCAAGCATACACGCGCGTGCACACACACACACACAAACACACACACACAAACTGGAATGCAATTCTAGTGCCATCACATAGTAATCCAGCAGCTCCTACATGTTTATAACCAACATTTTAGCTGACAAGAGCAGAAATACCAGAAACTAAACAAAGGATAAAATAATTCAAATTGGTAAGAGTGTTTGGTGTTTCTGATACCCCCTTTTCCAAATGACTTCATTTCAATTTGGTTTCAAATGAAAAAGCAATAATGAAGATTACTTTGTAAAAGCATTCCCTTCCCCCACTATAGGATAAATACCCACCCACCCTGCATTCCCCATCCAAGGACCCTGGGGTATCAAAGGGAAACAACCATCCTGAAGCTTCAGATAATTAAATCACAATTCACAGAATAATAAATCAAAGTCCCCAGCTAAGATTCAAGACATTACAGCAATTCAGGTCTAAGAAGGTAAAAGAAGGATGTTTCATCCTATCCTTCTGGAAAAATATTCCAGCAATGCTGGGTGTTAAAACCTTTGTTCTCAAGCTAAGCAATTAAAGCACAGGTTTTCAAAACTAACTAAAAATTTTCTTCCTTTAGGTTAAATTAGACTTTTTAAAATATGAAAAAACCTCAAATCCTATTGTAAAAAAATGAGCAATGTAAAGATATCCTTATCCTTTTTTATTTATTCCTCTGTTAAAGGTACATCCCTTTCACTGAAGCTATTTTTCTACCATTTTGCTACATTTCATACACCACAGAGAAAACAAAGACTACTACAGATTACCTGGATCACCGGACAAATCAGCAGACAGTGAAAGCTCAAAAGGCTTGTTTCCAGGAAACAGAGAATGAAATCCTCACCCAAACACCACTCCCTTAACAATCCTAGGCTTTCCCTTTATACATACACTCGACATCCTTGGAAAGGCATTTTGTCGGATGATTTCACTGACCACAAGAGGGATGATATGAAGAAACCCCACCTCTTCTCCACCCCCAATCATCTACCATCACCAACTGAAGCCCAACGCTGCTAATGGGAAGGCAAAGGACAGCAACCATGTATACTGCTCTAGGAAAACTCCATAAATGACAAAGAAAGCAAAGATGTAGCTGACAGTTTTTTAAGGGCGCAGGCCAACCAACTCCCATGAAATTAAGAATGCTTGTTAAAGATCCAATTATAGAGCCACAAAAACATAATTTTCTCCAGAAATTCCTGAATAAAGAATGAATTTTAGAAAAACATCAGTGTGTCTACCAAAAATAGAGTTCCTGAAATATCTTAAAATTTTGTTGTTGCTACTGCTCCTTTTCCTAAATAAAACCAAATAAACACAATAAATTAGGATTTGTCAAAGAAAGAGCCTACTTTTGTGGTATGTGACCCCTTAAATGACAATTTGGGACAGGAGATGGGGGTGGAAGAACAACAGATAAAATGGGAGGAGGAAAAATATTTTCTGCCCCAATAAAGTCTTACTAAGATGTAACCAAACCTGGGAAGATTAAAATTTCTTCCTGCTACTCTCTGTTTGATTACTGTAAATTTGTCCTGGTCTTTAACTATGCCCCAGGCATTATATCTGAAACTCTTTTAACTAGCATCCCTGCCACTTTCTGTAGAATAAGGGAGTGTGAAGAAACACATTCACTTTCAATCTAATCCTCAGAAATCACATAATTTTGATAAAACAATAATTTATCTCAAACACTGCTCTCTAACAATTGCAGTGCCATAATGAGAAGACTGATATATTACTATATATTAGATATATATTAGCCTCTTTCCTTTTCTGAAGCATCACCCAACTTGACAATTTACACACATGCGGGATCAATATATTAGTAATATATGATATATATATACACTGCTTTATGAAATATATCCCCTAAAACATTAAATACATAATCTTAAAGCCCAGTATACATTTCAATCACATAAATATTAGCCCAGGATTCTGTGAATTTGTTTATAAATTCAGAATCACAGTTAGTGATGTACAAAGAATAAGGTTCCAAGGTCCCATACTTTGGCAAATACATTTTGCAATAAATCAATAAAAGTACCAAAAATCTATTCATAGATGGATGAGTACATTTTTTAAAAAAGATTTATTTATTTATGCATACAAGAGCTAGGGCACAGGCCAGAGATGGTGAGGGGGAAGTTGGGGGCGGGTGTGAGAGGATTCACCAGAGACAGAGTGGGGAATAGAACAGGCAGACTAACTGAAATACACTGCTGAGGGGAGCAGTGGGGAAGACAGGAGAGGTCTGCTTTGCCGTGTGGGTTGCTCCCTGGCGGGTCGGGGATGGAACTTGTGCTGTAGAGGCTTTGGATTGCTTCATAGTGCGGTGCTTAACCCCTTGCGCCACGAGGGAGGCTCTGGATGAGTAGATTTTGTAGATTTTCTAAACTACTACAAATGACTTTAATGATTTCCTTGGGCAATACAAAAGAACAAAATTACTGAATTCATAATTTATAAATACTTAATAGACTGGTGATACGACTAAGCATGTGACTCAGAACTCACACAAGTGATTTGAAAATATAAGTCTACATAAAAACCTGTCCATGGATTTTTACAGCAGATTTGCTCATAATTATTAAAAACTGGAAACCACCATCTTCTCAACAAGGGAATGGATAAACAATCATTTATCCATACAATTGATTACTATTTAACAATTTTAAAAGAATGAACAACTCACATAACAATATGGATAAATCTTAAATGCATTTTGCTATGTTAAAGTCAGAAGCAAAATCCTAAACCTTTCATATCATTCCATTCATAGAACACTGGAAACTGCAAAATTAAAACAGATCAGAGGTACTAGTGATTAGGGAGGGGGAGAGTAGTTAACTACATAGGAGACACTCGGGGGAACACTTCCAGTGCAGAATCTACTCTGTACAATACTATGCTGGTGGACCCATGACTCTACTCTAGTTAGAACTCACAGATCTACACACTATGAAAAACAAACGTTAATGAATAATAACCAAACAACCACCAAAAAATCATCAACCAAAAATGTCCAAGAGTCTAACATGACATGCAGACTGTGACAAATTAATCTAACTGCATTACAAATTATGATATACTACACTGAAGGGGTAGGGAGAAAGGAACTGGCCTAATTAATTTGGAAAACATTGTTTTGACCAGAAAGTGTATGACTAATGACAAAAATAAACACTCAACACTAACTGAACATTTTGCTTTTGTGGGTATAGGCATTACCAGTTCTGAAATAGCTTTTCAGCTGGGGTTGAACTAATAGGTAAGTGGATATAAATACAGGTTTCTCACTGTGAGATAAGGAAGTCACATAAACAAGAAAGGAAGACTAGTATGAAACCCATAGTACTGATTTAAAATCAGAATGAATGTATGTTTAACTTAATATGTATACAAATGGATCAATAGAGAACATGGGTTAGTATACAAACATGTATTACCTTCCTCTGTCCTGAGCCTAAAAGCAATGCAATAGCAAATAGCACATCTGCAGTTCACATTTTGGTTTCTAAATACCATTTCCTAATATTAAAAAAGAATGGGGGAATATGGCAGATTCTATAACCAGAGGAAAGAAAATATAAGATGCACCTGGAATACCTTATAGTACCACAAAGTAAGGAAGTGCTTAAGAAACAAGTTGGGGGGACTCCCTGGTGGCGCAGCGGGTTGAGCCCAGCGCTGTGAAGCTGTCCACAGCCTCCGTAGCGCCAGTTCGCTTCCCAGCCAGCCAGGGAGAATCCCACATGGCGAGGCAGGCCTCTCCTGCCTCGCCCACTGCTCCCCTCAGCAGTGCTTTCGGTCCATCTGCCTGTTCTGCTATCCGGCTCTGTCTCTGGTGAATACTCTCACCCTCCCGTGACTCTGACCTGTACCCCAGCTCTTGTATAAATAAAAATAAAAAGGAAAAAAAAGGAAAAGAAACAGGTTGGGACAATATAAGCAACAAAATAAAAATACAGTATTAGGTTAGAATTCAAAGTACAAAACCAATGTACATTAGTCCATACTGACCTAGTTGAATAAATAAATAGATGGAGGGGAAGACATAAATCTTCCGTACAGAAGAATTCCAAATCATATGTAGATACTTCTCCCTACCCAAGTGGACGGAACTTGAATGACTTGCTCCTAAAGAACAGAGTGTGGAAAGAGAAAGAGAGTAACTTTTGAGTAGAAAAATCTGGCAATTACTACTCTAGCCCAGATTTATAGTGATTATCATAGGGATGTCATGTGAACATTTATATATATTATAAATATATATATATATATATATATATATATATATATCACTCATAAGATTAAAAGGGGATTTCTCCTTTATGGCATTCTTTCTAAAATTGCATCGCTCCAGACAATTGATAAGAAATAGCAGCAAATCCAGACAGGAGGACATTTTAAAAAATACCTGGCCAGTACTCAAGACTCCTTAAGGTCATGGGAAAAAAAAAAAAAAAGACTTAGAAACTGGGGCATCCCCGGTGGAGCCGGGGGTTAAGCACTGCGCTATGAAGCAATCCACAGCCACTGTAGCACCAGTTTGATGCCCGGCAGGCCAGGGAGAAACCCACATGGTGCAGAAGACCTCTCCTGCCTTGCCCGCTGCTCCCCTCAGCGGTGTATTTCATTCAGTCTGCCTGTTCTGTTCCCTGCTCTGTTTCTGGTAAATCCTCTCACCCACCACATCTCTGGTCTATATCCCAGCTCTTGTATGCATACATAAATAAATCTTAAAAAAAAAAAAGACTAAGAAACTGCCACAAACTGGAAGACAGTACAGAAACTTGAAAACTAAATGCAATGTGGTGTCCTGAACTCGATCATGGAACAAAAAGAGACAATTAATGGAAAAGCTGGTGAGATCCAAAGAAAGTCTGTAGTTTAGTTAATAGTAATTTACCAATGTCAGCTTCTTAGTTTTGATAGATATACCATAGTAAAGTAAGATGTTAATGAAGAAAATTGGGTGTGAGTTATCTGAGAACTTTCTAGATTAACTTTGCAACTTTTCTAAAGTCTAACATTATTCTAAAATAAGAAGACTATTTAGTAATTAGTATATGATGTCTGAAGTCAGAATACTAGATGCCTTTATGAAACAGTGATTTCAACTATTGGTTAAAAATACTCCCCTAAAGAAAATTCCAGGCTCAGAATACTTCACTGGTGAAAAACAAATGGCAAAGAGCACACTAAATACTTAGTGTCATTAGAGAAATATGAAGAAAAAATACAATGAAATGGTCATCACAAAAATGACTAAAATTAATGACTGATAATACCAAGTGCTGACGTGTACATGGAGCAACTGAAACTTATGCGTTGCTGCAGAGAATGTAAAATGATAGTTTGGAAAATAGTTCGACAGTTTGTTATTGAGTTAAATATATATAAATCAGCAATCCTCCCCCAAGGTGCTTACCATAGTTAAGTGAAAATGCATGTATCACACAAAAACTCAAATGCAAATGCTCAGGTTTATTCAAAATAGCCACTACTGAAACTAATCCAAATGTCTACCAACAGGTCAACATGTTTATAAAGAAGCTTATATTGTAATCACACAATGGAATACTATACAGAAAGAAAAACAGTGCAACTATTACAAGATGCAACAACTTGGATACATAAAAAAAAAAAAACACTGCAGTAACAGACACAGATAACAGACAATGATATTATTTAGATGAACTTCTAAAAAATGCAGTATTTTTGACAGAAATCAGATAATTGATGTAGGGGACTAAATGAACTTTTTGGGGTGATGGAAATGTACATCTTAATTATGGCAGTAATTTAACACTATATACTTTTGCCAAAGTTCATCAAAGTATATACTTAAAGTAAGTAAACTTTATTATGTGTCAACTGTATTTTTTTAATCCTCCACAAAACCACCCATGCCCATACCCTGTCTGCCTCCATGCCCTATCCCCTCACCTTTTCCTCTATTCACCCTGGTAACTATTTTTTTTTTTTACCAAGTTCAAGTTTCATTTCTTCTATTGCTTTTATGTAATTGTTTTGGGGGGTTATTTCTATTCTGCAATTGAGTGAAGCCATCCAAAATCCGTCTTTCACTTTTTGGCTGATTTTATTCAAGATAATCACCTCCAGGTGCCAAAAGCCACCTCTTCATCTTTCATCACAGCTGTATAATATTCCACTGAATATATATGCCACAGTTTCTCTATCCATTCATCTGTTGAAGAGCACTT